GTTTATAGAAAGTGAAAACCGCTAGCAATCCCTTGAGTTATTATTTCCGAAACATATTTGATTAATATCTTTCTCTGTATCTCTGTTTTTAATATGTTCTTTGCCAAATGTATTCTTTTTTATTCAGTATTCTCCCCTGCTCAGTCTCTTTGCTTTTTACTCTGCTTGGCCAAGGAAAAAAAAATATCCTAACAACAAGCCCAAAAACCCTGCAACTTTTATTTTATTCAGTGACCTTATTCCAGTATGCAGCTTCTGGGGTTTTTTTCTCTTCTTTGTTGCTTCCTTTTTAAAATTTAACCTTGTGTCTTTTTTGTTCTTCCTTCCTGTTAGTTTGCTGTGGGCAACTGCTAAAGGAAGCTGTTGCAGAGAAGACAAAACTTGGAGAACTCGTTAAACCTTATATTGACAATGGATACCCAGGTAGGGCACGTTGTTGTCTCATTACACTGTAGTTACAAATTTGTGGTGAAAAATAAATTGTGAGGGAATTTCTCTTGGTCAGATTCTAATCTGAGTTACATCAGAGTGATACGGAAGTTGATTAAGTCTGTTAATTACGTGGAATTTGCAGCACTGCATAACAGAAGTTAGATTTCTAAGCTATTCAATATCTTCAAAGCAAATTTCACTGTTCCGGTCAAGTTCAGATTTCTTGTACACATTCCAAGATTTGAATTCCATGTTTTTATCTCTAAATCAAAATCACAATTCTGATATAGGTGTATAATTTTAAAATATTTAAACTGTTATTTAAAGCAGTAATTGTGTTTTGTTTTTATTTCAAGTGAACTATAATAAAGAGACTGCTTTTATCTGTGGATTTTGACTTTTGGAATGCTGCTGTGGATTCCTCTACTTTCAAGCAAATATTTTAAACTTAAAAATAAGGTTTCTTTGAACTTCATTTCTATCAGCGTTTTCGGTTGTAGGAGAGGACTACCCCAAAGAATGTCTAAGCATACTTGGCTTTTGGAAGGCTTTGCACTGATTGCAGATAAATCATAAATACTGTAAGCTCCTTAGGGCAGCAGCTTAAACTTCCATGTTTGTTAGTTGTTTTGCACAAGGATAGCTCTCCGTATGTGATGGATATGAAAAATTGTAGTTCTTAAGGATAAGTTGGGTTTCAGTAGGGTGGAAGAATGTTTATTTTGCCAAATTACAAGGGCCTGGAAGAGGAACTTTCAGTCCTGTTTCTGGCCACAAGCCAAATGGCCACCAACGATACAAATATAAGGAGGACGGTCTTGCTGAAGATTGAGAATTCTCAGTTAAGCTTCAGTATTAATGGAATTTTGAGCAAACCCCCCCACTCCGAGCAAAGAGAAATCTTCATTGTCTTTTATTTTTGCCAAGGAAAGTCATTTGGTGAGGTGGAAAGCTTGAAAGTGCCCTTTTTTTTTTTTTGCACGATAGCTTAATTCTGAGACTGAATTACACAGGTCTGAAACATGAGCCTATAAAATTAACTGAGGTTCCCTTGGTACCGTACCAAGAGATTCGGTGCTTTCCTGAGCGTTTCAAAGAGACCTTTGGCAGCCTGCAGCTTTGGGCGTCCTGTCCCTCTGCCAGTCACTTCATCAAGCCACGAGGTAATACGTTTTAACTCTAAACTTCCTCTCCAGTGAATGGGCTGCATTTATTCTCAATAGAGTAACTCGGTGAGTTCAATGCATTAATTTCCTGTGGCAGCCACCATGTTGCTGGGACTAGGAGTTTATGTGGGAACCGTGGGAATGGGAAGCGTAACTTTCCGCAGCCTGAAAGAGAGAAGCTGGGTCCTCTGTGACATCGGCACAGAGATCTAGGAGAGGGTTTTCTGATTTAGAGACACTGCTGATCAGAATGGCCATTTAACTCAAAGACAAGAGGTTTTAGCGTGTACTAATTGCAATGCATCCCAGATCCTTATGTATGGAAATCACGTCTTCATGTGTATAGTCTGCCTGACCCGAATGTGGCTACTTGTGTATGTGGTCTGACTCACATGTGGAGATCGTTTTAAGCTCTGGGCCCATGGCTTTTTCATTGGTATCCATTAATTTCAGAATGTTCGGTGTTTACTGTAATTTTACTTTATTCTCATTTCTGTGAAGTAGAGGACAACCACTGTAAATGCTTCACTCTCTAAATTTCAGTTATGACTGAGACGGGAGTTTGGATGATCTGTTTATTGAAAAATAGGTCCTCTAAGAGCTTTCTTTACAAAAATGCGCTTTGTATATTTTATAAACTTCATCTTAACCATTAAAGGAGATACCAAAAGCATTCCCAGTAGAGTAAAATAATTGCACAGATTGTAATTTTTAGCCAGTCCAAAAAATATGCACATCCTTAGTCCAGGGGAGCTGCTTTCATTTCAGGAAAATGAAATTGAAGTTGTAATTCCTTTCTTCCTCTGAAGTAGAAATTATTTCAGATTTAGATTAATTTTTTTAATATAGCATGCAAGGATAAAGCTGCACAATGCTTCTGAATGTTAATGGGAATCATAACTGTATTTCTGTACATTGTGCTAAAAAATTCTCCCTTAGTTTTTGCTTGTATGCACGTTGGGTTTTTTTTGGTGGGACATACTACAAAATTAAGGACTGAATAAAAGTAAATATTATATAGCAATACCAGAAATAATAAGTTCTGTCATTTTGCTAATCCTCCTCTCCCAGGGATAACAAAGAATGAATTTACATTGTAAACACTAACAAGAATTCATTACTGCCCTCACAAGAGGCTTGCAGAAAATGAAAGAACTTAGTGTACTGAAGAGGAAAGATGAGCAAAGAATCCTTGCTGTCTTGCTACGGAGCTACAACCAGGTTAATCCAAAAGAAAGATTCTCACACTATTATTGACTACATTCAGTTTGAAGAAAATGACAATGGAATAGAGTTAGTTTAGTCAATAGCAGACAGTGTTATAACTGGAAAAGCAATTAGAACTTCAAAATTTTCATTGCATTTCTAGTTATGTACCAAGTAAGCGTAGTTGTTCCTTTGGGCAAGGAAACATGCAAGTGATGTTACCCCAGAATACCCTGGAACCAAAGACAGACCACAAGAAATGTTATGCTCAAATCATTACTAGTCAAAATGAAACTAATGCCATAAAATCTTGAGGGCATGCCTCATATATTCTTAAAATGCTTGCCCTGGGGACTGAGCTCAGTGTAGTTTCCCTTCTTGTGGACACAACTGATTGCGAACAGTTAGTCATTTAAGATACGCCAGCAAGGTATGTTGTGGTGTCATAAAGTGCCTCAAAACCCAGCTTATTCAAAGCTAACTCACTATTGAGTTACTGAGGCTGTCCACTGTCTCTTCTGTTCTTGTTCTTGTTGCCTAACTCAGATCTCTTCTTGGTTTTAGGATTCACAAGCATTATTTGTATTGTTTTTTCCTGTACTACCGCCTCATGTATACAACATGTATTTCAAGAGCAGCCCAGACAATTCTATTATTCACCCCAGAAGGCAACTCAGTGCATTCCCATTTTCTGTATTTTCTAGTGTTTGCTGCCTCATAAAGACCTTATCTCTTGCTTTATCAAACTTCTCAATTTTGTATATGGAGATTTATTTTGCTTAATGAAGGTAGCATAGATATTCTTGAGCCCATTAATTTTTTAATTCCCAGGACATTCTGGTCTACAGTTGGTGCACACTAGATATTGAAAAATGCATTTTCAGTGAAAAGTTCAGCAACCTGACTGCTTTCTGTCTGTCATAAATACAGAGTTGTTCTTCAGACAACCAGTCTGAAATGCACAGACTTTTCCTTTAGGATATTGTGGCTTTTACTGAATACTGGGCAATTGTTGCTAACTGTGCTCTGAGCAGAACATTAGCAGCACTGGAGTCTGAGACCAGTCTTCTGGTCACTAACTCCAGTTAGTTTTAATCTTGGTCACTAATGCTAAATTTAGCACAGACTGTTTGCTTGGGCAGCCTAGGAAGAGTTCTGTTTGGAGTAAGAGATGAGCGTAGTGGCCCGAACTCTTCCATAGGCCCCAAGACAGCTCACATAAATTAATTCATTCAGTTTGATTCCTTCTGAAATGTTGTGAAGAGACTGTTCCATAGACTGATCCTCCCTTTCTAGTAATTCAGGTGGTGGACAAATGATGCACATGTAGATAGCCCGTTCATAGACCCCACGGGCTTGATGAAGACCTTCATGAAGACTTGCTGTAATTCTGAGGAGGGCTAGACTGCCTTCCAGACCTGTTTTGTTGAAAACATGGGCACGCATTAATATAAAGTTTCATCTGCAGGATCTGTGTTCACCATTTTAAAGGTGTCTCTCAGAATTTGATACCTGGGAGGAAAAAAAAATGCAGAGAGCATATCTGCTTTTTTTCCCCCCTAAATATCTCTGGTGTTTGCTCCTTGAGATGTTTGTGTTTTATGAATGAAAACAGAAGCAGAAGCATTTTGGTATTGGTGTCATCACAAAAATAGGAAAGGTCATCAGTCAGTTGAAAAGAAACTTGCGTGCCATTCTGTCTGTTCAATTTTCTGTGTTTTCATGTGAAATAGCATGGAGTGATCTCTGCTAATTAATGTATCTGTTTGCAAGGCTGCAATAAATGGAGCCAAGAAAAGTGAAATGAGAGGAAAACAGCATGAAGAGCAGGGGAAAAAAAAAAAATTACTCCAAAACCAGTAAGAGTCTGCTTTTCAGCTGGGAGAGCTGCTATTAGTTTGGGTAATTGTTTTTTCCACCAAAGTGAAGATTCAGGTGGTGAAGAGCGCTGATTCACGGAAGACAGATAACACTGCACTGTTTGCAGCCTGTTAGAGTTGAACACACACAATCTGTGTCGGTTTTTCCCCTTCCTTTTTCTATTTTTTAAGTAGCAATATCTGAAGCTGTCCCCAACGGCAGTCTGCATGTGGGGGGTAAAATCTGGAATTCCCTAATTTCTCCTGTTTTCTAATAAGAACTATTACTGTACAAATGTAGGGTTTTTTTCCCATTATTTTAAATGGGAATGGTTTTAAAGGGGTGCTTTTTGGCGTAGCCTCTGAAAGTTGGGGTCCCCTGGTGATTGTGATCACAGCCTCGCTGAAAGCACTTGGGGTTGGGTTGTTTTTTTTTTGACGTTAAATTAATATTCTCATCACTGAGTGTGAAGCAAAGATTTGACAATAGAGCAGCTTCCTCTTTGTTAAAAACTTGCAAAGAGTTTCAGAGTTGAAAGGCTGAGTAAATCTTTCTATCTGAGGAGGTAAGCTTAGTGTTATTTCTTGTTTTTAGCAGCGCTGTACTGGCGAGCTGCAAGCTGTCTGAACATCGGAGAGAGACCCTTTGGGAGCTCCATTGGTTTTCAGCAAGCCTTTGCATGCAGTGTGTTTGTACTAGCTGAAGACAGCGCATGGCTCTCTAAATAATTTACAAGTTGATTAATAGACTCACATGGGTATAATTAGAAGAGGGAGAGACAGCAGCTACAGTAACGGGTACAGTGCTTGGGGGAACTAGAGACTTTATTTTTTTTAAAGAAACTTTCTAGGGTGCTGGGCGTTTGAAGATAAGTTGGGAAGAGCTCAGTGCCTCTTCTCTTTTGAAGTGGAAATAGGACAGTTTGAATCCGTCGAGTTTAATTTTTCACAAGCTTTAGGGGCCCTGCAGTGCAACTCCCTTTTTATTATTGAAAAAAACTCTCCATTTTTCTTTCATTTTTCACACACATGCACACACGCGCACACACACACAGAGCCCAAACAGTAGCTAATAAACAAATTGATTTTCTACTTTATTTAAGTTAGTTTTAGAACGAGGCTATATGTTCACCTATATATGCACCCCAATCACAGGTATACTGTGTAAAGTTATGGAGGTATTTATGAATACACCATACTTTAATTTATGCATTTTTAAGAAACCTTCACCTCTGTTTGACAATGCTTTTGAAGTAGCTCCGTTTTTCAAGTCAAACTTTTGACTTTTCCTCTGGGACTGCTACAAAGGTTTTTTTATGGAAAATAGGTAGCAGTCTTTTTTCCTACGAGGAGAAAATTGGTGGTCAAGAGAACAAAATAAAATTTAGATTTTTTTATTTCTGTTTTAGGTGTCCATATTTTAATAAAAGATGCAAGGTTATAGAATAGAAAGTTTTACATGAAGGCATATAGGCAGTAAGTTGTCATCTTTTCTGGATTTTAGTTTTTTATGTGTTGAATCACAATAGGATACATTAAAGTCTCCTTTTCCTTTATTTGGAAATCTATAATATATTTTTCTTTATTCTACACAACATGCAACAATCGAAATTGTCGTATCTAGCTGGCAGGTATTCAGGGCTGAAGTAACACTGGGGAGACTCAGTCTAGAAAGACATTTTTAAAGGCCATCCTACTAAAGATTTTAAAACTAAACAAAACCAAAACAAACAAAAAAAACCCCAAAACAAACAAAAAAAACCAACCAGTCTTCCCCCCACAAAAAAATTACTCCAAAAAAACAACACTGAATGCCAGACCAGACAAAATAAATGTGATTTTATTTAAGGGTCTAACGCTGTAGATTTCTGTAGCAATTGTGATCAGTCAGTTAATGGATATGGTGCTGCCTGATCTAAATTTTGCCAATCTCCTGGTTTTACAGCAGTATTCACCATTGTTATTGTTACTCGAGTATCGATAGTCCAATATGAGGCACTTGGAGTCACAGGGATAGTGCTGCTGAAGTCTGTGGGTTTGCATGAGCGAGGTGGTAAAACTGGTTTTAAGTTAGAACACACCAGATGCCCACAGTTCCCATTTTTGGTCAGCGGGGATCAATGTGCACCCCCAAAGTGCCACTGACCTCATGGATTTGAGTGAAGTTGTGGCCCTTGGCCATACAGGGCCTCGTGGTTGTCAGGGGCTTTTAAACAGCAAAGCACAATATAAATGCTAAGTATTAATCTTTTATATTTATTTTGATCTTTATTGCTGACAGTCATTCTTGGAAACATGATGTTTCCTTTCCTGCTCCTCTTCTTGCAGCACTAGCCCCTCAGCAAAGAGCTGCTGACTTAAATTCTGTTTGGTTTTCTGTTTGGAGTTTGAGATGGGGAAATCACCTGAGTTTTTATGAGAAAACTGGAAGGGAAAGCACATCGCATATTAGCAGCATCCCCTTTTATGGTCTTTGGAGTTTCACATCAAATTCGGGCTTTGGCTGTTTCACTGGGTGCCATACATACAGAATCAGGCTCCTGTATGAAACAGACTTTTTTTTTTTATCATGAGCAAAATGTTTAATAGCTCTTGTGTATCGCTTTGTATTCCTGAATGTCACTTCAGTGTGGATGGTAGGCATCAGGAGAAGCAGCAAGGGGAGACACAGGACTGGGAAGCTGGTCCTGCTGTTGGGGATCTAGAGCACCTGCTGGCACCAGCCATCACTGGTAAGGGACAGCAAACCCCTTAACGTCCTCTCTTCTCATCACGTGATGAATCAGTATTTGGTTTAGAAGTCCAAGATGGTTTTCACTAAGATTGTTAGACTAAATTTATTCTTTTTTTTTAATATTATCGCTGTCAAAAAGGTTTTTGTAGGCCAATTTCTGTCCTGTCACAAGCCCCGTGTTCTTCAGTAGAGCCAAACCAGTTTAGAAATAAGGAGAGAACAGGGAACTTGGTCGATAATGAAAATGATGTGTTAGCTGGGTTAACACTGAGCTTACTGTCTTGTGGTTCACTGTATTTTCTGTGCAGAAGCTGAAGAACTTAAAAGAAACAGTGAAATGTACACTTTGTTCCTAGTTTTATAAACTTGCAGGTTAGAAGCATCCCTGTGAGGGAATTCAGAGTAGCTTTTGTCTTGCAGATGGGTAAACTGAGGCAGGAAACCTAATTCAACTCGAGCCACGCAGATCTCGACCTCAGTGTCAGCCCACTGGATCATCCTGGGACTCGCTGGTAGCCTGTGCAAATACACACAGATTCTGACAGCATCGCGGGGGCTGGTTTGGGGGGAAAAAAGCTTTTTGTGTTTGTATGCTGGGTACTCAATTCGGACTGAATTTCCATTGCTAAATCTGAAGATGCCACTAACAGGTAAAGCAGCGTAAGGGGCTGGAAACTTACCCAGTCATTAAATGTGATCAGCTGTAGATTCCTGAATCTCTGGCTTGATAACCGTGAGGAAGCACGATGCGCTCCTTTAACGTGGAGTTCGGAAAGTCTCGATTTATTGTGTTATCATTTGATTGATGATTTGGGATCGTACCTGCTTTAAAAATGTCATCGCTTCCTCTTTAGAACAGCTCATTCCTATTTTAAATGGCTGAAAACCTCAAAAAAAAAGTAAATATTTTCAAAGAAACAAAAATATTGGAAATGTGGAAATGAAATATTTTATCATGTTATTTATTTTACTGTATTAAAATAAGTATTCTTATAGGAAGCCATTCTCAGCAGTGCTGTGTGTGTAAAACGAGCGAGTGGAGACTGTGTTTCTGTGTGAATTTGCTGTTTGATGAAATTACTGACTCCTTTGCAAACGCCACGTCAAGATTGTTATTTGTTACGTCGCCTCTTTATTTGCCGGCTTCAAAATTACCTTCGAAAACCAGGAAATCAGAGCAGCTCTCCCGTTTCCCGGGGCAGCCCGGCGGTGTCCCTCACTAAGGAGGACGGAGCGGGCTCCGTTTCCGTAAATTACTGCCGTTTCGGCGGGTCCGAGTCT